AAAAACTTCCTCCTGGAGGTCAACCGAGGAGCAACTGGGCCAGCTCTCCACGCTCACCTGAGCTGCCAATCAGAGCTCATGGACTGGGATTTTCTGTTATCTCCAGTTACGTGTCTGTGACAGGTAATGTAATATAAACATAAATTCCTTTAGGTAGAGCCTTCCTCCACCAACTTCCTTGGCAATGAGACCGGGGATCAAGTACTGTTCTAAGTAAGACTGAGGGCACCCGTGCCAGGTTGGAGCAATAGTTTTGGGGTTGGTTCCTGCAGCGAGTGGCGAGGCTGCCGTTCCCTTCCCCTTTGCCCATTGTTTGCATCCAAACCCAATTGCAAATTGACATGAGCCGTCTTTGGGGAGCTGCTGGTCCTGCTGCTCCGTCAGCACAATGAGCCGTTGTTGATACGGCCGCAGCAATTTTCCAGGTTAATTTATGGCCGCCACACCCCATTAGCGGCAATAAATGTGGAGCCCGGTTTTGCCGAAATTGTGAGTTACGATTTTTCAAATAAATACATTTTCCTATAAACCAGTGCTCTGTTTAGTTTGAGTGTTCCTCACAGACACATCCATCTACATAAAATACACAGGAGAGGAAGCTGAGCTGTGACTTCGCTCTGATGACATAAAAACTTTTGTAAACACAATGTCACTTGCAGTACTAGCAAAGAGAGGGCCCAAAAAATAAACAGTGAGTGCCTGGCGCATCCCTTCAGGAGTACATGGAAAATTTAATACTTTTTTCCGTAAGGCTTTGTTTTCCTTTTGATTTATCCACGCAGGACAGTGGCTGTTTGGCCATAAATAGATGGTATTTCTTGAGGGGCAATGGTTGCAGTCATCCTGTATGTTGCCAGAGGGGCGGTATGGGAGGTGTGTGGGCAGAGAAGGTGCTGCTGAGAACAGGAGCATCTGGCCACACCACCGTGTTCACCCTCAATTCCTCCTCTTCCTTTGGTGGGGCTTTGACAGAGCCCACTTAGGTTGTTTTTGTGATACTGGTGCAGGATCAAACAGCCCAGTGATGTAGTTTGGGGGACTGAGGCAGTGTGTGGGCACTGGAGTGCACAAGCACCAGCAAGTGCGAGCTCCCCTGTGCCCCAACACTTCCCAACCTCTATGACACCCAAGCTGGTGCAGCAGGACACGTGTGGTAAACCCTAAAGGGGAGGAGGGATGCTCTTAGCGGGCTCCTGCGACCCAGCCTTGGCCACGACCCCAGGGCTGAGTTCATTTCTGATCAAAATGACCAAACTTGATTTCATTCACTTCTGCAGGTTCCCTCTCTTCTCACATCACTAGGAGGAAAATAATCCCCCAGAGCAGCCTCCTGCACCTCTCCTTGAAGCAGATTCTGCTCGTGCCTCAGTTTCCCAAGGTTTTTTGCCACTGTCCCCCGAGGCCTCCAGGAGCAGAACTGTTAGGAAGGTGCTGAGTGATTATTATTGTATTATTCCAGGCAAGTGCTATAAATACCCAGGGGCACCTTTAGACACAACCCAGCTGCCCAGGCGAGCTGGCTCAACCCTGCTCTGTGCCTGTGGCGGTTGAGGAGCGAATCGAAGGCAGTGGCCGGTGTGGAGGTACCTTGGGAAATAACCTGATGGGGGGACATGGTGGGGGGCTGTGGGGTGTTGGGGATGGGATCTTACCAGCTACACCCCAGGGCTGCAGAGGAGCTTGGGGTGGGGAGGGATGTGGGTGCAGGAAGGTGCCGGGATGCTGCAGGGAGATGCTAACAAGGAAGACAAGGGGAATATTTTACGGGGCTGCAATGTAAACAGAGCTGGAGCAGAGCCCCTTTTTATGGAGTCCCTGTCCTGCCAGGGCATCTGCCAAGGCCCTGATTTACGCTCCTATTTAGATAAGGGAGCCGGAGGGGGGGAGCAGAACTGGCGTCAAAGTCACAGGACACCCGGGGCTGCCGCTCCCCGGGTGCTGATAAGGAGGTGGCTGAGGGGCCGGGGCCAAAACCTCAGCTCCCATACCGGGGCAGGAGATGGGTTCAGAGCGTGGTGATTCCTGCTGGGGTCGAGGTGCTGGGGTCCACAGAGTCCCAGGATAACCCCAACATGCAGCACTGGCTCCTCACCATCGTCTGGCCGTGGGGGCAGGAAACCTTTCTCTGGGAATGAAAACAGGTGGAGGGAAATGTGATTCCTCCTGCCATGCCAGCAAATTGCCCAGTTTGAACTGCCTGGCACTTCTCCCCCCACCCCCCCCATGCAAGTGGGGAGATGTGAAATTAAAGAAACTCACCAAAAGTTTGAGACGTGCTAAATTTGGACGCCATGACAAAGGCAGTCTGGTTTGATTTAGAAGGTGTCGGCACGAAAAGGGCTCTGGTTTTATTATTTTATTAAAACAAGAAAGATTAGAATGATTTTCCAAAGGAAAATCAACCCTCTGGTCCCATTATTTGCTCAGCTGAGCACTTACAAACTCTACAGGGTGCAGGGACCTCCATCAAGGGGTGGATAAAGCAAAATAATGCCCAGGCTTGGGCTGGGCTTACATGGCTTGGTGGCCAGAGGCTGGAGGTGACTCTGGTGCACAGCTTGAGGTGACAGCTCTGAGCTGGATGTTGGTGCGAGTGGCCTGTGCAACGCAGGGTTAGGGGGATGAAAGGGGTATTTTTTGGGAGGAGTGTTTTCTAGAGATGGGGTTAGATGCCACAGACTCCATCCTGCCTGCTTGCTGGATCAGGGCTTTTACAGGGTTGGGGAGAAGCTCAGCAAGGGGCCTGGCTGGTTTGTAAGGGAGAGCAGGGCTCCACAGGTGATAGTCTGCCAGCATCAGGGGGTGAGGTATGAAATGAGACCCCTGAACCTCACCCAGGTGGGCACTGGCTCCCACCAGCTGTGAGCTGGGCTTGGGGATCCCACCCAGCCATGGGAGTTTTGAAGGAAATCGGGGACACGACGCCCTACCCAAGGGCTGGCTCTAAGGGGAGAGTAATCACTAGCAAATGTTTGGAGGGTGCTTGTTTAAAGGGGGTGGAGAAGGGGGCTTTGCAGCAGCGGAGAACAAAGCGGGGGGAACAAAGCTGGGCAATCCTGCACGGCTGCTCCCCCCTCAGACGCCAGGGCCCGGCAGAACCGGAGACCCGCTTGCACCCTGCCCTGGCCCCCCCAGCCTCCTGCCTTTGCAACTCGCCTTGTAACAACTAACGATGGAAAATCCGAGGCATTTAAGTGGCTCCCGAATCCACCCGGGAACCGTGATTGAGAGAAGTCAAATAAAATTTGTCATCTTTAAAATGCAGGAGGACGTTAATGGTGTGTTAGCCCGGATGATTAATACAAGCGCCTGCAAACAACCCTCCAACGTTTCCACCCTCCGCTGCAAGATGAATCGCTGGAAAGCGCCGTTAATCGCTAACATACCTCGGGCCCAAAGCCCCTTCCTGCCCCGCCGTGCTGTGATCGCCACCGCCGTGCCCAGCCTGTCCTCACTGCGAGTCACTGCAGCAAAAGCAGGGGTCGGCCCCAACCCCACCCAGCCGGACTGGGGATGAAGTCCTCCTGGGAATCCCTCTCCCATGGGTGCAGAGACGAGTGGGATGTGGATGTCCACTGCAGGGCCCCACTCTGGGCTTGGTTTTGGGAGCTGCGGTGAAATTCAAGATCCCGATCCCAGCGGGTTCCCCCCAGCCCTTTCGTGGCCAGGCTGTGACAGGGAAATGAAGGACAGGTCCCCACTCTCCCATCTTAAATAAGTTCGTGTGTGTGGATAGTATCATTTAAACATACCTGTGTGTCCATGTAGTGTCTCTGGACAGGTTTGCAGTGTGCACACATGTGTTTATATGCCACATGTGTGATATGTGTGTGTGCAATGTGTCTGTACGTAATACAGATACAGTGACATTGTGTGTGCAGCACATCTGTGCTGCTGGTGTGTGTAATACATGTGGGTGCAGTTAAGTGTGTGCATGTGTGTGTGTCACACGTTTGTGGTGTGTGTGTACAGCACAGAGAGCTGTGCAGTGGATGAAACACCTCTGTGGTACCTATGAGAAAGACATCCAGTGTATTTCTGAGAGCAGCACACAGGCGTGGTGTAACCACACACACGTGCAGGGAGCATTTGCACAGCGTGTGTGTGCTGTACACGCGTGCAGGGCATATCTGTGTGGAGCTGTGCAACGCATGGAGCAGCCGTGAGCCCCTTGTATGGGGAGGGAGCCCACACCCCATCCCTGCCATCCTCAAAGCCAGGGCTGCCCTGCTCGTTCTCCCTTTGCTGCCTTCGCCCCCTCCTCTCCCCGGCTCCCCCGGCTCACCGGGTGCTCCCCGCGCTCCGCTCCCACGGGGACGAGTCTGCCCCGCTTGGGGAGCGGGGACTCGGCCCTTGGGAAGCAGAAAGCCCCCGGGTCACCGCGGCCCCGAAGCGCGCACACGGCCTGGTCCGGCCGTCGTGGGTCCGAACACCCGCGGCTCCCCCGCCCTGCTGCCGCCTCTCGTCCCCCGCCGAAGCGCGGCCGTTTTCGGGGGGCTCGGACACCCTCGCCCCAGGAGCGGGGATGGAAGAACGCCGGGGCGGCGGCTGGGGTCCCCCTCCTGTCCTCCTCATCCCCTTCTCCCTGCAAGCAAGGAGCAGGCGGGGCACCAGGGCAAGCGGAGGTGTGAGCCCAAACCCCCGAGCCCGGAGCGCGGCGCACGCCCCTCCACCGCCCCGCTCCCCCCGGGGCCCCCGCGCATCCTCCCCTGCCCATTGGCTCCCCGGCGGGGGGGCCGCGGCCCTATATAAAGGCAGGGTCGGGAGGCTCCAGAAGGGGTTAAAAAAAAAAAAAATAAACCAACAAACCCAAACCAAACAACAAAACTCAAAACCCCAAACCCCGGCCGCCCCACCCCAAACTCCACAGCCGCCTCCGCCACCGCAGCCCCTCGCCGGAGCCGCGCTCCCCGCTACCCATCGCGCCCGCCCGGAGGGGAGCGCCGCCCGCCCGGCCATGGAGCGCTGCTGAGCGGCCCCCGGGGCCAGCGGGGCGGACCATGAACCTTGTGGGGGGCTACCAGCACCACCACCACCACCACCATCACCACCACATGCTGCACGACCCTTTCCTCTTCGGGCCGGCGGCGCGGTGCCACCAGGAGCGCACCTATTTCCCCGGCTGGGTGCTCAACCCGGCCGAGGGGACGCCCGAGCTCGCCGGGCAGAGCCCGAGTTACTGCCCCGCCGAGTACGGCCCGGCCGGCCCGGGGCGGCTGGAGGCTCTCAGCGGCCGCCTGGGACGGCGAAAAGGAGTCGGGGGACCCAAGAAGGAGCGGCGGAGGACAGAAAGCATCAACAGCGCCTTCGCAGAGCTCCGTGAGTGCATCCCCAACGTGCCCGCCGACACCAAGCTCTCCAAGATCAAGACCCTGCGCCTGGCCACCAGCTACATCGCCTACCTGATGGAGGTGCTGGCCAAGGACAGCCAGCCCGGGGACACCGAGGGCTTCAAAGCCGAGCTCAAGAAGGCCGACGGCAGGGAGAACAAGAGGAAAAGGGAGACGGTAAGAGGCGGACCGGGACCTGCGTCCCCGCTCTCCGTGGGCCGGGATCGGGAAGGGAAAGCCCCGTGGCTGGGGAAGAAAAAAACCTCAAACTCTCCCAGCCCCGCTTGAGCCTTTTTTTTCCCAGTGTAAAAATAAATTAAAAAAAATATCCGTGGAGGGAAACTCAGAGGAGAATATCCCGTCCAACTTGCCCGAAGGGTTTCCGACGGGCCGAAGAGGCTCCCGGGCGCTTTCCCGGAGGGATCAGCACCCGGGACCGGGACTGGCCTCGGCGGAGCCTCCCCCGGTCTGTCCTTCACCTCTCCCAGGAACTCTCCAGGGAGGATCAGGCGCCGTAGTATTTCGGAGCAAAGGCAGCCGCTTCTAGCCCTGCTACAGTGGGTGGGTGGGGGAGCGGGGACCCCCAAAATCTCTTTATCCACGGGCTGGTAGAGCCGCTCGGAGCCGCCGGGCCCGGCTGCAGCTCTGCGGCGGGAGCAAGGGTCGGGCGGGCGGCCCGGGACCCCGCTCCGTTCCTGACCGCTCCTTTCTCCCCCCTCTCCCCATCTCCTCTCCCGCAGCAACCCGAGGTCTACTCGCAGCCTCTGGGTCACGGCGAGAAGAAGCTGAAGGGCCGAACGGGTTGGCCCCAGCAGGTCTGGGCTCTGGAACTGAACCCCTGAGGGCTGTCCCGGCGCCCCGACGGCGCTCCCCGCTCGCCCCTCCATGTGCAATGTCGGCGATCCCGGCCCGGCCCCGGAGTCCATCCAGGCGCAGGATGCGGGGACCTGGCCCGGCCGCCCCTCTCCCGGACGGATGCTCCGCGGGAGAGAGGCGAGAGCGCTTTGCGGGGCCGGGTCCTGCTCGCCCCATCGGCAATGGGGACGGGCCGGGCCCTTTTCCCCCCCTCGCCCCTTCCCCCGTTTGCAGTAATCGTTGCTCCTTCCCGCTGCCAGCAGCGATCGGCGGCTCCTGCCCTCCCGGGCCGGGCTAAAACGGTTCGATTCGTTTGCTGTTGTAAATACGAGTCCCCGTCCCTGTCCGCTGCCTGACCAACGTGTGGGTGCGGTGAAAACTACCTAGAGGTGCATTTGGGAACACTCCTGTGCCGGGTTTTCTACCTCAGATATGCATGACCACTTCCCGAGGGACCGGGCGCACCACACCACGTATTTAAAACTGAATAACTAAAAAAAAAAAAAAAAAAAAAAATTTAAATAAAATAACATTTAAACTTTATGCAAACGGCCTCGGGTCTGAGCCCTCTGCCTTCCCCTGCTCTGGCAATCGTGCAGCTGCGGCCGGGCCCCCTGTGCCCTCTGTGGGGCGAGAGGTGCTGCGGGATTAAGGACCCCTCTGAATTCAGTACCTTGCTGTGGGGCAGATCCATGCCAGGGAATTCCTCCCCGGGTGGCTTGGGCAGTTCCGTGGGATCCTTTGGGACTCGTTTATGCCATGTTTGCTCACCCCAGCAGCTGGCAGGGCTTTACAAATGTGTACCCGCAGTCTACCCCCAGGCACGAACTTTGCCCCTGCCCTACAACCCCCTCCCCCCAGACTCAGGAGACCTGCTAGAGGAATTGGACTCGTATTTGGCCTGGGGAAGGATGGCAGGATCAGGCCTTTACAGCGCCTGGATGGCACGAGCACCGGTGAGCTGTAGAGCGCCACTTTTATTGCTGCCACGCAGAGAAGCAGAACTCGGCTGCCCTTCCCTGCCCAGGCAGCTCGCCCAGCTCTGGCACCAGCAGCACTTTCTCCCAGGGATCCTCTCTTAGGTGCTGCCTTGGCCTCATTTTGAAGGTGCAACATCCCCTCCTCGCCATCCAAACGCGATGGATACCACGAGCCTCAGACATACGAATGCTCACACAGCCCACAGTCATCCCTGCCAACTCTCAGGCAAAAATCCTTAATAATCCTTAGTAATTAAAGCTAAATCCTCATTCCTTTATTCTGTGCACACACGAATCTCTTACCAGAGACTGCCAAGACGTGTGCACAGGCTCAGGGCCTGATCCTGACTTCCCATGCCGTTATTCCCAGTGACACTGTCACTCGTCCGCTGCTCAGGGCAAAGAAAACCAGCACAGGGAAAACTTGTACATTATTGCGGGGCTAATCTGAGAGCTCAGCAGGGAGCTTTACATTTTCTACTTGAAACCAAGCTTTTGGTTGCGACTAAAGGTGTAGAAATAACAATGCAACATCTGTAAAATGCTGATGCGTTGGTCAATCTGCTTGTCCAGCCGCACACCCCAAAAATACCCCAGCTCACCCGTGGGGATGCAGCTCGAGTTTTACAACAACTGTGTGCAGTGTGTACAAATACAGATGGACAGACACACAAATATTCGGGGGTCTGGCTGGCGTAATAAAATCTTAATGAAGGATCTGGCTGCATGAATCAGTCTTCTCTCGCTCCAGAGCTGCTGCACGGCTGCCTCCCTAGCCCCTGATCTATTTTCCGATCTCTTTGAGTGAGACTGAGATGAAAATTGACAGCCTGAGAGAAGCAATGCCCATAGTGTTTTTTGGTTTTGGGGGTCTTTTTTGGTTTTTTGTTTGTTTGTTTGTTTGTTTTTTGTTAGAGCTGTAAAAAGTTTAGCATGGTACCAATTCCATGAGTGAAGTTAGAGAGTAGGGCATTCCTAAAACCAAACTCATTCAGGAAGAAAAAAGAAAAGAAAAAAAAAAAAAAGAAAATGTACAGAAAATCAGCCCCAAGTATCCTATTTTATGGCTAAGTTTCACAGTCCCTTAAAGTGCTAGGTTTTTAGGGGAAAGTTCCTAAGCCATCACTAACACTGTAATCTAGTGCCCCACAAATGTATCTGGCCCCAATCCTGTTTACCTGTGCCAGTTGGTATCCCAGCCGGTATCTCTTTATCCATACGGCACCAATCGGGGCTGTCCCTCGGCAGTGGATGAGGGAAAGGGTTAAATGGGGACCTGGGACTTGCTCTGCTGTTTGAGGCAGGGGCGACTCTGCACAGGAATCGTGTCCTCGGTCCCAGCACACCAGGTTCCATCTGGAATATCGCCCGCCGCCTGTGGACCTTTTACCCCACCAAAAACCTCCACCGCTTTTTATATTATGGGTTTCCAGCTTTGCTTCTGGGAAGGGGCACCCTGGACTGCCAGGACAGTATCCTGCCTGCATCCGCAGGAATTTTGCTTTTCTTACCACAGGTTATCTGCTGGCTGCAAACTTCTGGGGAAGGTGCTCCCCGTTCCAGCCTCCCCTGCTCCATCGGGATTTTGCAAGTGAAAACAGCAAGAAGGTTTTCCCATGAGATATTGGCTCGGGGTTTTGGGGGAGAGTGGGTAAAAAAAAAAAAGGAAATAAACATTTTCTTTAGCCAGGGACTTCCCTGCTCCCCAGAACACTTTGGAAGGGCTGTGTTTGTTGGGAGCGAGTTTCATCCCCACCTCAACACCACACACGAGGCTCTGCCGCGCTGGGGCCGGGAAGGGGAGTCCAGGCTGAGCTCAGTGCTGGTTCCAGCCTAGGATGGGATCACCCCTTCACCCTCAAAGGGAGAGGAGCTGCAGGGGAGTGGGAGCCCTGCACAGGGGCAGCTTCTCTTCCTCTGGCAGCGAACCGGAGTGGCTGGGAGAGAAGTCGCTGCAGCATCCGGCAGAGCTCCCGGTGCTCCCTGCACCAGAAATGGCTGGAAGAAGAAAGGTTTGGCCACCAGCTTGGAGTTTTTGGCTATTTAGGGGCCTAACTCATCGGTCAGGGGAGGCAGCCCTGCACACACCTACGGCACGACCCTGCCATGAACTTGATGCCGTTGGGAAGCAGCTCGCTCCGGGCACGCCGCTGGAGTCATCAGCTGCCTGGACAGAAGCACACGCACACCGGGAGCGCTTGGCCCGGGGCAGCATCATACGTGCCACGTTCCCTGCTGCTGGAATCCAGCCGTGAGGGATGGTGGAGGGCCTGCCCTGGCCAAGGGGCAAGTGCTGGGGGACGAGGGGTTTTCGGGCACTTCCCACCTCTCGCTCTGCATCCCTGGGGTTTGGTGCGCAAAGGAATGGTTTCTTTTTTGCCCTTTTTTTTTTGTTGTTGTTGTTGTTTTTCCCTTCCCTTTCTGCCAAGCCCAGACCCTGCTTCTTGTTGTTGTAGGTATTTATGGGCCTGTTTATCTGATCTCGGGGGAGCCTACTCTTATCTCAGAAGCAGCAAGGGAAGGGTTACACTGGACAGCTCGGTAGACAGGATGGAGCCAAATAAAATACCAATCTGACGAAAAAAAAAAAAAAAAAAAAAAAAAGGGGAGGGTGGGGGAAAGAAACACCCAGCCCCAGCCACCCACTTACCCATGAGCACAGTCCAGGCTGCAGGTTGGATTTGCCAGCCCCAAAACAGCTGCTGGGTTCAGGCAGACAGCACAACCCTGGCACAGAGCAGAGGAGAGCACCGTGTAATGATCCTGAAAGATGGGAAGAAAAATCTAATTAAAATATTTTCAGGTCGGCCGTTACAGCCGTTCAGTTGTGATGCTGCTGTTGGGTGTTTCCTCGGGGTGAGCACAGAAATGTCCCGGCTCGGGCTGAGAGGCACAGTCGGCCCCAGCCCTGGCAGGGACTCCTTCGAGGTCATCCCGAAGGTCATGGCCAGGGCCAGCGCTGCTGCCTCCTGTCAGGGGGCCCCTCTGGGCTGGCCCCAGCCAGTGACACAGGGCTGGGGGGGGCATGGGACAAGGGCAACTCCCTCTGGACACCACTTTGGCAGGGAGCAGCAGAGAGCCCCACCTCTGCTTGGCCTCTCTGGAGCCCAAGCCTGCAGCAGGGCTGGGCCAGAGGGAGTAGGATGGGATGGGATTGAGTGGGACGTGCCCTCCTGCCATGCCAAGCAGGGGAACAAGGGCAGCCCCATACCAGGGGTACCCCCAGTCCTTGCCTCCTCCCCACCCCACACCCCACTAATTACTGCTCTTAAGGAAGCGCCTGCTAGTTCAGGCCATTTAAGGTAGCCCCAGCCCCGCTCAGTAAGGGGAACCGGGCCATAATTTGTTTTCAGTGTCAAGATGGCGTCAAAGATAAGACAAAAATCTCCAGGTTTGGGGGCTAAAGAGACAGGAGAAATCCTGACCCGGGGCCGACCTCGGAGGAATGGCCACAAACCCCAGTGAGTCACATGGCAGGTGAAAGATTTACTGCCAGGGGAGCTTTTTGATCCTCTCCCAACACTCAGAGCCTCTTAGCCCAGTTGCTGGCTCCCAAGTCAGACTGTCTCCTGGGAGCGCTGCTCAGGTGGGAAGATTTTCTATTCAACTGAGCCCCCCCACCCCCAGATGGAAAGTTCATGACATGCAACAGCTCTTCCTCAAATCTTTCTGCTCCTGGAGTCACGTGACTCTGAGACACATCTGAACAGAAGATGCATTTCTAATCCATAGCTGTAGAAATTATACCCAAGCATGGGAAGACTCTGGAGCGACAAGGCAGACGAAGACTCTAACTTTTTTTACTTTCTTGCTTTTATTTTATTTTCTAAACCAAATCCAAACTCACTGGGTTTTCATCCCTATGGCAGTACCTGCTTGGGACTGAGCACTGAGCTCTGCTCAGGGTATATTTTTCCATGCAGCTGCCTGTGCTGGGAGAAGACCAAGAACCCTGCACCTTGGGACAACCTCCCCAAAACCGTCCCTCAAACAATGGACAAACTAATCATCCATCCCATGCCTCTACCTCTCCAAAGCCAACCTGCATTGCTCCTTTATTCCATGAAGGCCCTTCCCCCAGTGCAGAGGGCTGGGAGAAGTGTGTATTAACTCCTTTCACAAGACTCACGTGCTTGGGGTGGGGCTAGCCATGGTCACCACGGAATGACCCATCCTCATCCTGCTCAGCGATGGAACAATCACCTTAGCAAGGACCTTCTCTGGCAGTGCTGACACTTGGCCGTCGATTTTCCACTGATCTTCTCCCACGACATTTCAGCACAGCCCTCAGGTGAAGCTGGGCAGCGTGGGGTGGCAAAGCAGCTGGATTTGAGGTCCAGGATGGAAGCTGGCTGGGAACTGATGGAGCAGCAGTACAGCTCAGGGCAGGGACTGTGGGACTGTGCTCAGCAGGACCCGGTGCCATCCCCACAGCTCTGTGATGCTGGACGAGCTCCGCCTCTCCTGATCACTCCAAAGCTGAAGTGCAACAACAAATCTGTAAATCAGAGGGGCCAAGGAGCCAGATGGAGCTGCTAGAGCATAAGTGGGAAGCACAGGCTGGGAGGGTGTTCACTGGTGAGAGGGGAGTGAGGGGTAGTTACCCAGGAGGCTTGGGCTGAGAGACTGCAGAGCAAGAAACCATGCTTGGAGGCCTGCTAAGTCCTTGTGACAGCTCCCTGAGGTAGGAAAGGTCCTTGCTTGCAGTTTCCTCTTCCCCTGCTGCTTCTTTTGCATGAGGAATTCAGGTTCTGACCACCCTGAAAGACTTTACAGTAACCAGAGAAGTAGGGGAATTTATGGCGTCACCGGTGGTTGAAAGCTGAGGGATTGAGAGGAAAAGGTTTTTTTTTTTCCTTAGACTGGAGCTACCTTGACAAAATTCTCATGGCCTGTGACTGACCCGCAGGAGCAGCCGAGGGGGAAGTGGGGACCAGAGCAGGCTGGTTTAATTGCCTTGGCCAGGAGCTCCTTCCCAAGCTGAGATGTGGGAAGGAGTTACGAGTCTGAGCTAGTGCACAAAGCTTGTGTCAACTCTGAAATTCCCTCCTCTGCTCACCTCCACTGTTTGGCTTCCACTGCTTTGGTCCTGTGGCTGATGGAAAGGAGGAGGGCAGGCTGTGCACTGGGACTCATCAGCTTGACTCAGACTCGAGCCTGGGCTGCTGTGTTCAACAGCTCACCTGACAAACTGCCCTGGAACCAAGGCAGCTGCTTAGAGCTGAACCCACACAGTTCTATACGCAAGGCCTTTGAGGATCTTTTAGATTTCTCAGAATGTGGCATAAAAAGGTGGGAAGGCTCTTGTGGAGATAGCTTTGTTGGCCTGCCTCGGGGAGTGATGAAGGACTTGGAGAAGATGAGCAGCTGAGAGGAGTGGGGAAAACAGGATCAGGAAAAGGAGAGAAGGGAGGAAGACAAGGAATAGCCTGGAGAGGGATGGCATCTCCCTGGCACTGTAGCTTGTCAGTACCCAGCGCTATCACTGTGCCAGTGAAGGCCTTTAACCTGCTTTTCATCCCCAGGAAAAGAGAGACAGAGAGGGCTGAGGTGAGTCAAGGCCAGCAGTAGTGAACCAAGGGCTCTGCATCTATTTACAAGGGAGTCACGGTTCATGGCCAGGAAAGTGGAAATTCCAGGAAAAAAAAAAAAAAAATTAAACAACCTGGCTCTGTTGGAAAGGTGGACTGGACAAGGAAGAGCTTAACAGTCCCAGTTTGGGTTAGTGGGATGTCGATGGGGTGCCCATCACTGTGCTCTCTGGTCCCTGGCAGTCCATACCTGTGGTAGGAGAAGCAGCAGAGCCATCTCAGCTGCCTGACACTTCCCTCTTCCCCACAGCACCATGGTGGTCCCCACTGAGGGTGCTGTGGTGATCATGTAGGGTTTCCTGCAATACGTAAAGGGAACAGATCTTGCAGAATGTTCCCCAAAAAATTAAGTAAAAGCACACTGGGGGGGGGGCTTTGAAGTACTTACAGGAGAAAACAGCACTGCCTGCAAGGGTTAAGAGTGGGAAATTGACTCCAGCTCCTGGCAGAGACTGAGTGCTGGTGGAACTGTGCAGTTATCCCTTATTTGATAGAGGGAAAATAAATAAATAAATAAATAAAAGCATCCTGAGGCTCTCCCCCACACACTCCTCCTGCTCAACCACATCTCTAAGACACAAAACCATTAAATCCACATTCACATTTTTTCCCCAGTCCTCTGTGCTGCCCTCTCTGCCGGGGAGAGCAGAAGCGATGCCTGGTTTCCATCAAGGCTGCGAGGAGGCCGCAAGGGCGGCTCACGCAGCGGATCGGACGTGTTCAATTTCAACGTCCAACCGGGGAAAAAAAAAAAAAAAAAAAAAAAAAAAACAAACAACCAAAACCCAAACAAACCGTTTTTATGATCTCCACATCCCAGCACAGCATAATCCTGCTTCCGGTCTCTTGACAAGTACAGCCAGCTCCTGCCGAGGAGGCATTTTTGGGACGGGGACACGGCCCTGGTGCCCCCCGGCAGCTGCCCCGGGCTCGGAGGTGCAGCCGCCAAGCACCCACCTCCCGTGTTCCTGAGCTTACACTGCCCTCACACGGCAGCCGGGAGCGCAGGGAGGGATGTGCAGTTTTCAGCTCATCAGGTCAATCTGCTGGTTCCTCAGTTTCTCACTGTGCACATGTTTAAAAAGACTTTTGAGCAGATTCTGCCTTGGAATCCCCAGCGTAGAAAAGCCCAACGCTCTCCAAAATGCGAGGTCATGCGGTTCTTCAACAACCTCCATCCTTCCTGCGAGTTGTCTTTTTGTTGCGTTCAAAAGACTCCGTGAATTGCACCTGTACAACCCACACGGGGTTTGTCACAAAATATCTCATCAGTTGAGTTTTCTGCTCCAGGCTTGGCATTCCCAGTCAGCAGTGCCATTCTCTGCTCTTCGTCTGCAGAGTTTTCAGCCCCGGGGAGGTGGGTGGGAAAAGACGGAAGCCTGACAAAAAAACCCAACATCCATACAAAGCAGAACTCCACTGGCTGTGGAGCCATCAGTGCCAAGGGCAGAAAGGCAAACAGAAGGGAATGTAGGCCTTGTTGCTAGATAGATCATTTATTAAAGTGAAATTCGGCATCTTATCTTTGTCAGACAGTACAGAGTTAAAGTCTCATACACAGTGGAAGCAGGACATTTCCTACACCTCAGAGAAATGAGTTCTACAGTTTTTGCTATAAGTTACTAATTTGCTTTAACAATACACAGCTATATTACACAGTTAAAAATACAAGGTGTCCAAAACATTTGGCATAAGATCAGCACAACACATGGAGGCCAGAAACAGAAGAGGGAACACAGTTTTTCTCTCCCAGTAAGCCTGCCAAAAGACTCCAAACCATTCTGCAAGTTACCTGCTACCCATCTTCCCTGCACCAGCTGAGGGGCAGAGCTGTAGGTGGGACAGGAGTAAACCCAGCCCTGCTAGGGCTCACCTGGAGCCTGCTGATATACAGGATGGCCTGCAGAGCTGCTTGCAAGGGCAGTTCAGGTTTAAGGCAGGAGCCCTTCCCCTCTCCCCACACTTTCTTCAAGCATTTAATTCATCCCAATCAGGTGTGTTCACAGGCAAGCCAAAAATGCGAGACCAGGGATAGCTGTGAAAAGTGCAAGGAGCATCTTACATTGTAACAATTCATTTGCACTTCTAAAGTGGGAAATGAAAACTCCCTAACTTGATAAGCTAGAAATGGCTAAATTACATCAGTGACACGAGGAGTGAGGCATCAATAACATTCCTTCACCTTTGGGACTCTTCAGTCAATAATCTGGGCAGTACAGGAACTCCTTCTGGACGGGAGGCCACCTTGTACTACCAGTTCTTCTAAACTGTAGAGGCAAAGTGACTCTAGTGCTCTAGGAAAGTACAGCCATCTGCCATTTTAAATAAACAGTCCCTCAGCAGACTCTCCCCTCCCCTCCTACTGCAGTTACTGCCGAAGATCTCCCATTGGTATTTACATTTGGCTCAACCAAAAGATGTAAAGTGCACAGCTCCCCCTCCTCCCCCTCTCATAAAACATCCATCACAAGAGCTGATGCAGAACAAATCGTCCTCCATGCTGCTGCCTGTGGAAGAGTGTTTTGTTCAGTCTCTCTGTGGGCCATGTCCTGTTTCATACCCTCTGTGCCATCATGACCCACATGAAAACTCCCATTAACTGTGAATTATTTCAGCTCTTGTATTCAAAGCCTCTCCGAGCCCAGCCTGCACTTAAGACTCACTTGATATGCCAGACTTGATGTGTTTTGGTCAAGTCTTGCACACCGGGGTATCTAGTGGTTTACAGCCACATTTCTAGGAAAAACTGGGACCCAAAATCCTGGGGACAAGTGGTACAAACCTGCCCGCTCTGCTTTTCTCGGGCTGAGCATCTAAAGTGCCTGGCAAAAGAAACATTACCTTTTAATGCAATTGTGTACTTCAGGTTGATAGGCAATAACCTTTGAGATTCAGAAATTTTGAAAACTGCATTCTAACACAGCCTCCTCGGATATATTTGCACTTTTCAGCCATCAAGTTGCCAACAACTTGAGTCTTTGCATGCTTCCAACTCCCTTGAGCTGAGCGCGAGCCCGTAACTACCAGCAATGATTTCGTCTTCTTCCCTTGAAGTGAGCAGAGGGTCAGCATACAGGATGAAATTAACCCCAGAAGAGATGTTTCTGCATTATTTGGATTGCATACTAATGGCTTTGGATCTATTCAGAACTCTAATTAGGTTAATGCAGCTCTTCAATGAGAACTGAGCTAGGCTATGGAATTGCATTAGGCTATATAATGGCTGGAGACCTTCAGAGATGATTCCTCTGCCCCAGGGTGAATGTCACCTATGCAGGCTTGTAAGAAAGAAGCTTCCACTATTATAAATAGAAGATGACATCTGGTCATCCTCCATGCCCCCAAGGCTTGTGCTCCATGGTTCAAAGCTAGACAGAATTTAAGGCCCATCTGTGAAAAGCAAAATGCAAAAGGAAAAAAAAAAAATCTTATCATACCAGCCAAAGCGATTTGGGTCTTACACCTTTCCAACAAGTCCCATCTGAAAGTGCTGAGAAAATGTCCCACCTCATGGCTTCACAAGTGTGAGGTTCAAACACATTTACTTCAAAGTTTCAAATAAAAAAGTTGGAAAGTTTGTTTTGTTTTTTTTTTTTTCTTAATTGGCATGCAGCATAAGGAATCGAACACACAGCACGGTATTGTACACAACGACAATTGCATTGTTGCGTTTTCTGGTTATTAGACACTAAATGCTTTTCAAGAATCACAGGCACCCTGAACATGGATATTGCTACTGAATTGACGTGTGGTTTTAGTTCATAGCACGGGAGCCATCAAGTGGCTGACCCTTCCAACAAGACATCGGCTTTCTGTTGCTCAAGGCGTTTTGCTCTAGCTAAGTTGAGAACAAGGTAATAAGGCATTTGCAAGGGGTTTATAAGGCCATGGGGTCCGACAGCCAAAGAGTCTTCTGTTTCTTTGGTGTCTTGCCTCCAAGCTTTCCACCTTATAAACAACTGCTAATGGCTGGTAAACATCTCTTCGTCATCACACTTCACCAAGAATATTTTTCAAAAAAGTAGAATTGCTTTAGAAGTGAAACCAACAAGGATCACATTTCACATCAATTGACTATTTTCAGGAAAAAAAGAAAAAAAAAATGTTTCCTGGATACCAACTCTGCACAAAAGCATTCCAGTGAATACACCTGAACAGATGGAACCTGCCACCATATTTCCTTGAAAAGAATCATTTTGCTGATGGCTACTAAAGCACCCCAACAGATTTATTTACTCTTAGAAATAAAACAAAATAAAATACAACAACAAAAAAAGTAAATCCCAAACAAACTACATTTTTACAGTTTTGGTCTAGAATCACAGAATCAATTAGGTTGGAAAAGACCTCTGAGATCATCGAGTCCAACCTATGACAGAACATCACCTCGTCAACCAGAACATGGCACTAAGTGCCAAGTCCAGTCTTTCCTTAAACACCATCAGGGATGGTGACTGCACCACCTCCTTGGGCAGCCCATTCCAATGTCTAATCACCATTTCTGTGAAGAATTTCTTCCCAGTGTCCAACCTAAACTTCCCCTGATGCAGCTTAAGGCCACATCCTCTTATCCTGTCGCTGGTTGCCTGGGAGAAAGGCCGACCCCTACCTGGATACACCCTCCTGTCAGGGAGTTGTAGAGAGTGATAAGGTCACCCCTGAGCCTCCCCTTCTCCAGGCTAAACAACACCAGCTCCCCTAGCCACTCCTCACAGGACTTGTGCTCCAGATCCTTCACCAGCTTCATTGCCCTTCTCTGGAGTCACTCCAGCACCTCAATGTCCTTCCTGAATTGAGGGGCCCAGAACTGGACACAGGACTCGAGGTGCCTCACCAGTGCCAAGTACAGGGGAAGAATCACTGTGAGACATGACCCTCTCAGCTCAGAAACTCGCTTTCCCTTGGTAATATCCTCTGATGACATGAGCACTTTGAAGATTAACGTGCAGTCAGAGGACGCACCCTTTTAGCGATAGGTCCTGAACGAGAGAAGCCAGACGTGTTGACTGATGTGGGAATTACTCCACCCTTTCAATAAGGAAAGGACCAGCATAATTAGTTAAATTTTTAAACATTCATGAAATACCAATGCAAGACATTCTCTCCTCACTCCTTGAACCTCTCTCTTGTCTGATGTTCCATATTGAATCGAACAAGGAAATGCTGAAACAATCACACATCCCACACGTCACAAATGGGACGTGTACCATAACAGAGTATTTCTGCATATGACACAGGACTCAGACACACTGAAATTTGCTGAACATGTTTCTGGAGTATTAGCAACCAATTCAGAGTGATGTGAACAACTTGCTTTAAATTGTGACTTGATTTTTAAAGAGACCCTGGGATAGCTTCAACAAGAGCTTCACTATGAGAACCCTTCATGCCTTACGAAACACAATGTACCGGTACTAAGGTGGGACCATGACCTGTGTGTTTAGCTCTTCAACAAAGCTTCATCCAGTTCTGAAATATTAAAACCTGCCATTTACAAAATGCTAGCTGAAGTTTTCTACTGCTCAATTCGTTGCTTAAGGCTTGTTGAGAATACCCTCTCTATGTGGAGTCTCGGCATCTTGTACCAGAATGGAGACATTGGTTAGGACAGCAAAGAAACAGACTGGTGCTTTAAATCATGAGGTCCCCTGAAGAGAATTTGAGGTCACTGGAGAACAGTCACGACCAATACTTTTATAAGCTCCTTTTGCCAAAATAACCACTATGTTACTTGTAAGGACACCTTGGTTGTACATAAATTCAGAGTGATCTCCTCCTACAGTGCCCAGTTAGGAAGCACCAGGGTGCCACCCTCACTCACACAGCTCTCATGAAAGCACATGTAATGCTCATGAAAGGCAAATGCTTCGATACTTCTTGCCTGTTGCAAAGACAGATGAAGTGCATCATGAAATGCTCCCGTCAGATCACTGCCCTGGTTGCGGTGCCTCACCCATAACTCTGCTTTTTACTAAACAGAAACTGCAGAGCCCTTGAATCCACACAGCAGTTTGGTGACACTTGCTACAGCTTCAGTATAGAATTCACAAAGCTTGTGACTGATACCGACCTGACATAGAAATTAAGAGACTGATGTCTTGACCCAACACCTACCATCGTTGAAATATAAGTGAATTAAACAAGCATTTCTACCAACATGATCAGACCCAGCAAATAAGCTGTGTTTGCCTTAATACCACCTTCTGAGGAAATGCAGAAGTTTTTAAATTCTTACAGACAATTTAATTAGTGAGTTCTTAAATAAAAGGAATGAGAAAAAGAGATTGAGAGAGTTGGTTGGCATCCATGTCGGATGGGGTCTGGAGGAAAACTGGTAAAAAAAATATATCAATTTCAGACTAGTCAAGTAGCATTCACTGGAGCAGATCTGGTGAGCTGGAGCATTTGTAGAAGTTTGGGACTTGAAGCACTGACTCAAGGCAAGACAGAGCATGTGTAGGTGAGGAACAAGCTTCAGACAAACTTCTGACCCATGCACCTCAATAATGAATTTTATCTCTGCTGCTCTTCCAGTCCTGTACCAAGACAAACTGCATGGTGTTTTGCGATGCAGTCTGAATTCAGTGAAAAAAATTCCATTTGGGATCTGAATTGCACTGAGATGCAGATGTCCAGAAATGGTTTAAAACACCAAGTTGACAGACTCCACAGTCTTACAGGTTTACTTGGTTTCCCCATTATCCTCATTTCTTTATTCCAATGTGACTTTGAAATGAGGGGAAGAAGTCTTCGGAAACATGTTGGGCACATGTTTTCAAATACTCCTGATAAGAATGTCAATATTTTTTTCTGTCATCCAGACACTGCACTTAAAAAAAAAAAATTTACAATATACTTTAACAGTTCTTATATACCTAAAATACACAATACCATATGTTCCTTCAAGGTCTCTCTTATTCCAAGTCTTGTTAACCTTCAATCCAGTTGCTTGCTGCCTTCTGATTTCTGGTCCAGCCTGCTCTTGTTGTTCTTCACCATGTAGATAAAATACGCAAGTGTCTCCTTCTCATTCACCGGAATATTCCTGAAGTGACGACTGACAGTCTGGAAGGACAACACGTAATAGAGATAGAAACGCTGAAATTAAACAGTAGAAATAACCAGAACAGGGTTTCTTTTCACTTTCCAAAAACAATTTTACAGCCACTGAGCACAATATACTTTTAGTCAAACATGCACCGATTCCAACTGTCAGCCCTCATTTACCTCCCTCTCTCTTTACAGATGGAATGTGTGTATGAACATAGCACAGTCTTGCTGTGTCAGCAGGATTTGCAGCCAACCTACGAGCGGAATTTGGAAGCCAGAACGTCCTCCTGCCAAAGCAGGATGGCTCCTCCCGAGCAACAGTTCATGCCGAGATTATTTGGCGAGCAAGTTTTCTCCGTGTTTTAAAGGAGAGCATTGGAATCACTGCAACACTGCTGTGTGAACCAGACATAGCACAGTTTTATCCAGAGAGCTCTCCTTTGGACTCTTTAAGTTCTCACTGAAAGAACACCCAGGGAATTTGCAATGGGAGGGTTAGGATTTGGTGAGGGCTACCCCTCTCTGACACTCTCACAAGCCCTGAACCGTTAGCTGCTTTTTCCTCAGAAAATGAATGCAGAAAACATGTTGAAGCTGGATGAAATCTGCTTCCCACATGGAAGCTGTTTTTTGGTACAAAACTCAGCTCCAGAACTGGATTTTGATGCAGGCTGAGCAATAAGTCACTCCAAGAAGATTTATGGAAGTTTGAGTTTTCCTTACGGTGGGATAGCAGCAGGAGCCTAAGAGCCTCAGGCAGCAGTGATTCAAGCATGGGAGCTGGACGAGGATCCAGCGTAGGGTCAAAGCTGCTCAGACTCCACAGGAAATCTGGGAAGTGTGTGACAGCTTTCAGTTAGGCTCCCTTTATTTTCTGCTTGCATAGCAGTTCATCTTTTCTTTCCTCTTGGTAAGTTCACGGTAAGTTCCCTGTGCACGTAGTCCTTCATGGCAGGAGGCAGCTTAGTCGAACATGACAAATCAGAACTACTGATGAGGGATACCCTCACCGTGCTTTCTTCAACTTACTCCTACAGGCACCACACTACAATTTCTCTATATTCTGTATGTTCATTCCCTAGGTGACTTTGAAAGAGAGAAAGACAGTGTCTTGCTGACTTTTTTGGTCTGCTGGTTTCTGTTCTTTAAAGCGAGAGTAAAAGCAAACTGGACAGTTTTAGGTAGACAGCTGTGGAAACCGCAGCTTATAAAATCAGCCCCGCTACCGTTCAGGTATTGCTACAGCTTTTTCAAGTTTAGAGAAGACTCTTCTCACAGCACGTCATCAGATCAAGTCAGGAAAGAGAGCAGAGCAGATGCACACCAAGCACAACTCACCCAAATAACTCAGAGATACAGAGAGTTCTTTCTGAACAAGTACCCATATGGTGAGAAAGCAGCAGTAGAGGCCCTTAAGGAAAAAGTCTTTTATTGACTTAATACAGAATAATCAGGACAAGGGAGGGAAATAAGGAACCTGAAGTCATGGTCAATGGTTCTGCCTTTAATAATAAGTAATTCCAACCAGTTCACAGTTGCCTGTGAGAAAAGAAAAACTAACAGGGGCACTTAGGGAGACCAGTAGTGTGTAAGTCTTAGTTAAACAGCCATTGCCAGATCACACCTGGGCCACAGAAAGCAGGTTCTGTTTCTGCTCCCTAAAGGTCACCGATTACGAACAAGGCAGGAAAGGAAGCAGAGATAAGTCAAATTACTAAAACATGCTTTGAAGAGCCAGCTTCCATGCCTTCTATGCCTGTCCCAGGTGAAAGCAGCTCTCTGTTGGCATCATCCCCTGAAACCCCTCACAGAGCACTCGGTACGTACCAGTGAGTCACACAGGTATGAGTGTTCACAAAACATGCACTTGGAAAGAGGAGATAAAAAGGTTTTTAATAACAGAGATAATGCTACCTCTGTCATCACTTACTTCTGCAAGCTGAGCCTTGTTGAGGCCAGGCCTAGTCTGCAACTTATAATGTCTCTTGTAACGTCTCAGGGTGTTCACTTGGAGCTGGAACAAGTCAACCTGCAAGTGATGCAGAGAAAAGGGGATGAGCACTACCTTTAGTTTCTATGAGTAGTTATTTTATCTAAAAATAACTACTTCCTCAACAGGACTGCTCTTTGCCTGCATTCAGAACCACAATGGTTTGCTGTACTGACAAACCTTAGTATATTTTGTATTTGTTAATGCTAAAGGACCAAAACAGCCTCAGGGAAATAGAAAATTTTGTTCTGGTTCACATGCTGTCAACAGAATTGCTGGCCAATTTCTGCTCTCAATTACACCTCTGCAACCTCCAAGCAAAGGGGAACCTTTTGTTCCCACAAGGTTTAAAAAGCTCACACATGCTAAATATCAATTTAGCAGGCACTGAACAAATGGCTTGTGACATAAAACAGAGCACAGAGATGAAATGAAATTCAAATACTTAAATGGGAAGCGCACAGTTTAAAACCAAAGGGGGTGGTAGGGAGGTTACAGGAAGAAAGATGAAGATCATGTGGAAAATGCCAAGTTTCAAAGACAAAAGGAATCTGTGCTGAAAAGCAAGAGGAAAACTACATTAGAACTGACATGGTGCAGAGTTCCCTGTTCAGTTGGGTGACGTGCATCCCTCGGGTTTCAGCCACCAAATACCCTCTGTGCTCTCCAGCACCATTTTTAGATGCCAGCTGGGTCTTCAGCAATCACCCTGGCAACTACTGAAAAGCCTGACTAGGAAAGTTTTGATGGAGAACCTTGAATGGAAACATCAACAGTAATAACAAAAGGCCAGGTATCATTAAAAAAAAACCCACACCAAAAACTGGCTACTCTTTCAATGCCTCCACAAAGGAAACGTGTGTGTACAGCTTTGCACCAAGGCACAGCTTTGCTGGCAAAATGAACTCCTGGTGGCTTTTTTTTTTTTTTTTTTCCCCCAAAAAATAAAAGGCTTTTTGCCAACAGGGTTGGCATTTCCAGCAGAGGGCTCTGCTGATGCGGCCACAGCTCTGCTTCTCCTGATTATCACCTCTGCGCAACTTTTTGCCGTGTCTACAGTACCAGAAACATCACTGAAGCAAATGCAGCACACAACGGCACAGAGAAGGGATTATTCTAGAGTTCTGTATCACAGAAAACCTCCCCCAGGCCTATTTCCTGAAAATAAAAAGGTGTTACAAACTATTTAAAGGTAGTTTTAAATATTCCCCAAAAATACCCTATATGCAAAGGCCTGGAGAAGGTCAATATCCCTGGATATCAAATACCCAATCAAAGAGAGTGACCTACTGAATTCTCTAGTGTATTTGGAGACTGATGCATTCTAAGTAACAAAGAATCGTATTAGAGCCTCAGACACCACCAAAAATAACTTAAAACCTTTAAAAAAGAATCAGCATCAAATACAGTTTTAACTGTATGTACACGAATCTGTGCAGTTACCTTATCGCACCTCTTTTTATGGAAAACTTTACATGGGCAAAGAACTCATACAGGAAAGAAGCAGAAAATTAGGACATCACACATGAGAAAAGTGCCTTCCTGGAAAGTGAGAGTGACTCCAAAGCAGCTTCAGTGGAGTTGCAATTTAAAATGTAAATATTTTCCGATACGTGAAACCCTCCAAGCGAAACTTCAGCATGCTCAGAATCAGTGAAGCAGCCCACAAACCTCTGGGACATCCGTGTCGTGCTCAGGAGAGTCACCTCCATCATCGCTCGTCTTCCTCTTCCTTTTGTTTCGCACACTCTGAATGAAATTCTTGTGAAAATCACAAATATACAGATGTCTCACCTAAGAACCAGAAGGGGTGAAAGAGCAATTAAAACAGGTTCTGTGAAACAGCATCGAACAGCAGCCACTTAGACACCAGTATCAGAGTCCCTCACCCCATGATCGGTGTGACTGCCTTAAGGAATTTCAAATCTTAAACCCTAGGCCTGATACCACACTCTTGACTTACAAATAATTTACATTACAAAGACTAAAGGCAAAGAAAATTAAAGACTCGAGCTCCACCTGAACCTGAACCTCTGCAGATAATACATTTCTTTCTTATGGTTGCAATTCCATGCCAGAAAAAAACAGGTCCTTGTCTGGAGAAAGTGCATTTGCTTCAGGACTTACCATCAGCTAACCACTAAGAAAAATATTACTCTGTTACACTCTTGTGAACTTTCTGGCTTAATTAGTACAGAGGATTATTAATGCCAGTGTTTTAACACCTTGAACAAATAAAAGTTGGCTAAGTATGTCAAATAAAACAAAAAGACTAAAAGCAGAATTGTCGTTTTCCTAATGCTTGTTCAGCCGTGGAACACCCCTTTTAACAAATATTATCTCACTCAAGTTAGCAAAACAAAGGACCTCAAATGATCACAGTCATCTGGTATCTGTAAGGTTAAAATATCTTCAGATGACACAGGCAACCTACATCCAAAATCCCTCCATGCAGCCTTGCTTCACACTTTCCCTTTGTTCTGAGTTCATTAGTCTGATCTCCCTTTTATGTTTCTAAAGCCTTACATCTGTCAACAAAGGCTTATTTCTGAAATACAAAAAATTACTATGCCACTAGACCAATCTGCTGAGACTACAGCGAGGAGAAATACTCCATTTTTTTAAGAATATGTTTAAAATTGAGTCACTCTCTTCCCGTGACACGATGCGTTTCAGCTGTGCAGAAGGGACCCAACCAACCGGGGGAGCCGCCAAACAGACTGACTGAAAACTTCACCTTTTTTTGTTTTTTCTTCCCCCTTTGTTTTCAGCGGTTTTAGTCTTTAAAGATCTGGTAAGAAAAGCGTGCAGAGCTGGATTCCGTTTAGCGAGTCACTTCTGAGAAATTCCTTCGGGCTGCTCTGCTCTCTCTATTTCTCTGCCGGGCGAACGACCCGCTTCCCTCTCGAGCTGACAGCTGTCACTTAATGCCACGAAGCACCAAACGGGGCTGTTCGGTGTGCGAGCAAGCCCTGCTGAGGCGGCAGCACATCTCGCCGCCAGCTCATCTTTTAACCTGCTTCGCTACAGCACCAATTCCTACCAATTAAAGCAGCAGCGTCAGCGACGCCTCGCTGAAGCACCGAGCGCTGTTTTCACCTGACAAGCGCCAGCGTTTCCAACCCGAAACCGCAATGGAAAACAGAGTCCCTGCCTCCGGAGCTCGGGCGGCTCGCTCAGCATCGCCCGCCCCCCAGACACGGCGTTTTGTGTTCCGAGCACCCCGAGACTCGCCCCGCTGCGGGGAAAAGCCCCGTCTGTACCGGGAAAAAAAGCCGGTTCCGCATCCAGGCACGTCCTTCCCTTCCCCGAGCGCTGGATGGGGTAAATCGCGGTCCCGGGGCGCAGCGCCGGCCGCTCGCAGCCCCGCACCGCGCACCCCTCTGCTCGAGGGGCAGCACCGAACCCCCCCGGGCAGCAGGAGCACAACTCGCCGGGCGGATCCGCCGCTCCCCGGAGGCTCCGCAGTGCGGTGGTGGCTGGGGCCGGCCCGGCCGCCTCTCCGGGGGGGCTCGGCGGGAGGCCGCGCTCACTCACACTTTTGTCGATGTCCAGCTTCAGCTTCTTCTGCGAGATGCTCTTCTGGATCCTCTTGCTGAAGGACGCGTTGCCGGCGGGGCGCACGCAGCGGTCCCCGTCGTCGATGAGGCAGCAGCTCTGGCCGTAAAAGGGGGCGGCGGGCGGCCCATCCCGGCTGTCCTCCTCGGTGCTGAACCCATTCATCGCCCACCTGCCCGCCCCTCACCCCGCGCGGGGAGCCGACAACCGGGGAGAGAGGGGGGGGAAAAAGAGCCGCGCCGGCACCGCTGCGCCCTCGGGGGGACCCCGCCGCCCCCGCGGGGGCCCCCCAGCCGCGGCAGGGGAGGGGACCCCCCTGGGCCGCCGGCGCTCAGCGCTGCCCGCGGGGCCGGGCCGGGCCCCCCAAGAGCCGCCGCCCGCGGGGAGCCGGGACCGCGCAGCGCCCGCGCACACAAAACCGCCTCCCCGGCCGCGGAAGTCCCACCCCCCGGCTCGCAGGCGCCGCTCCCATTGGGAGGTACTCGTGGAGGGGCGGGGCGTCCCGCGCCGCTCCGCGCGCCTATTGGGCAGAGGAGCTGCCCGTCAGCCGCCGCCGCCCCGCCCCCGCGGCCGGAAGGTCGCCGTGAGGGGCGCGGAGGGAGCGGCGGGTCCCGGTCCGGCCTCCCCCCGGCCCTGAGGGGACCCCGCGGCTCCCGCTGGGCCCTGCGGGACGAGGAAGGAAAAGTCCCAGCCCCGCCGGCATCCGAGGCGTCCCCTGCTCGGCAGAACCGCTCGGGACACCCGCGCCCAGCCGCGGGACCGCGGGTTCCTCCAGCCGGCCGGGGCTGAGCCGGCACCGCTCCTGGAACAGCTGAACCTGTGGCAGACCTGAACGTGCGGCCCTGGGACACAGCTCAGGTCGGCACAGCCACAAATGCCTGTTATTGGGTACAGCGTGATGTAGGCAAGAGTTTCTGGCTGAAATACAATTTTTTTAATATTATAAGATTATATATTATAAGAAATGTATGATTTCCCTCCCCCCAACTCCCACCCCCGATTACAAGGCAGTGAAAAGATGGGAAAAGAGTTTCCTAAAGCAATGTGACTTTAAGCTTCCAATTTCTTTCATCTGCAGGAAAAAAACAAACAAACAAAAAAACCAACACCAAAAATACCCACAAACCCAAAAAAGTAAAAAAGGGGGAAGAAACAGGGAGAAGTGAGGGAGGGCGGGAGGGAGAAGGAATGAAATTCCTACTGATCTGTGAAGAAAAAATGTACCTTCTGGAAATGCCACGACCTCTTCAAATCCCATTGTCAGAGGTGCGTGAGCAGCTCTAAAGGGAAAAGGATTTCATCCTCCTCAAGAAAAGACTTCCTGCACAAGCAGAAGAAAGGTTCGGTAGACTAAAATTACTTCAAAGTCCGAAATCCTGCATGTGGAAAAATGTGCGTGAGCATCGGGTGAACTGTGCTGAATCACACACACGAAAAACCTTTGGAAGAAAGACTCCTTAAAGTCCTTGGTCATAGATAGCTCAGGCTGCTCCACAGTAACACTGACAGGCACCTTGCAACCTGTTCTGCCTGCTCTGCACAAGACAGCTGGGAAAAGCCAAAATCTGTGTTTTCTAGACATTCCTTACACTGCCAAGCATGTCTCAGAATAAATGTGGAGGGAAGGGACTTAATACTCAACAGTTCTGCCTCTTTTCTTTGCTTTTACTGCTGGTGCCCTCAGGCAGTTGGTAATTTCTGTTTGTCCATGTGACAGGTAGGGAACCACAGTGCACCCTCCTGGGGACAGGCTCCCAGGAGCCAGCCTTTCTCATGGGAAGCTGATGAAAACAAATTAATTTACCCACACACCAACAACCAGTTAGTGAAGAGCAAAGAGATTTAAATAAGCAAAACTCCACTGCTTATAAAAGCCCCAGGCCGAATTGCTTGGGATCTGCCTGCCTGAATTAATGCGCTCCTGGCAAAACCAGATAGATACTCCCTTGTTTTGAAGAAAGAGTAAACACAAAAAGTCTGATGGTGATCTTGAATCTCCTGGTACCAAGCTTTCCAGGTTTATCTTAACATTACCAATAAAGATCAAATGGCAGGCTGAGGAAATCTTGCAGAAGGACTATCTTGACACTCGGCTGTAAACACAGACTGTAGGGACAGGTGATAACAGGAGCAAACAAGATAAAAGGGAACATGACCATAAGAGGTAGGACTTCCTCCTGTCCCCACCGAGAGGAGATTCTGCAGGTGCTCCCTGGACTATGCTATGGCAATCAGGAATGGCTGCAGAAACAGGCACCCTAAGTGCCAGAACAGGTCGGTACTGACCATCAGATTGTATTTCATCTTGGGCTGCAACCTCTCATCCCTGCAAATGAGAAGATTTTAAGTCGTTTTGCAATGCTCAGTAGAAGGGAAAACCCTGCTTTTGTCACTTTCTCTTTGCTAATTCAGTGCTAATTACCTCCCTTCTCAGGCTAACATGACACCTCCTTACAGTCTCTCAAAATTAAAAAAAAAAAAAAAAAGTGCATGGAGGTGTTTTTATAATTGCAGTTTATTTCAGCGTATTTATCCTCATGGGAACCTCCAGATTTCACAGTCTGCTAGTCTGGAACAAGCTTGCTGTGAAATAAACTGCCTCATAGAGACATTCTTTATTGGGTATCTATCACTAACCTGATCCAATAATTCTTTGTGGGAGCTGCAATGAAGTGAGAAACAATGTTTCATAAACCCATCAGCACCCAGGCAGCTTTAGTGCCTCTGAAGCAGTAATGGCCTGCCCATCCCAGTCAGCCTCTAATCAAATTAGGGGAACCTGCACAAGCCTGTAAATCTCACCTGGAGCAGCGCTACCCTCTCAAGATAAGTCCGTGGTGTAGCTGTCACGTGGAACTTACTGTTTTAATGGAGCCATTCGGGGGGCTTGGGACAGAAATGCTTCTCTCCAAATGGTCTGTGCTGCTGGAGATGTCCAGGGAAGATGCCTCTTTTAAATTTTTTGTACTCCCAGTCAGAAATCAGACCATTTCCTTTCTCGGCACCTTGAGGGCCAATGGAAGCAACTGCCCTGGCAGCTTTCCCCCTGACTCCCACTCTCCTCAGCACTTCTCTAGGGTGGTACATATTGAACCTGCTAAAATGCTTAAACTGTCGCAGCTTTTGGCACGTACTCACCCTGGGCGACGTTCCCAGGGCCAAGAATCACAGCACAGCCTTCCCTGGGGGAACAGTTAACCTTGCAGTTATCTGCTTGTCCCCCCAGAAAGAGCCTTGCCTTTCCTTTCCCTCACACAGGCTCATTTTCCCCACATGCAGATTTTCACACGTTTCATTGCTTGTGTCCCATCCGTTTTTTCCACTGTTTTTCACCCAGAGGAGTTAAGTAAAAAGGAGTGCTGAGAAGGCTGCTGAAGAAATGAAGTGACAGCAGAAAGCACTGAAGGTCTTAGTGGCAACATGGGAACATGAGCAGTGCTAAAAAACCTCCCTTGTCTCGGGCCAAGCCTGCTCTCCCCACAAACAGGGCCATGAGCTGTTAAAGCCCTGGAAAACCAAGGTGTGGGATGGACCTTCCAGCAGTTGCTCCCAAGGCAGACAGGCACAGAAAGGACAATGACAGCTGGGTTTTCTCCACTCCTCTGTGCTTCCCAGTGTGCCCTACCAAGGACCATCCATGGCCACTGTCCCTCAGGGGTGTCCTACCTGGGCACAAATCATCCACCATAGCCATGGTCCAACCAGGACAGTACCCCTGGGCACCTACTTGCATGAACGTGTCTTCCTCCACGTCTCTTCTAGCTTTGTCCGCTCCAGCTTTGTCCACATCTTACATTTCTCCTCATGGCTGCCACTCGCTCTTCCTTCCCCTCTGAGCTGAGGCGCTGCAGGGTCCCCTGCTGGGCTGCAGTTCTGGGACACGATGGATCGTTCCCATCGGTTTCAGAGCTGCTGGGAAGCAGCTGTGAGGGGCAGACACAGAGCTGCTGCCACCTGCCTGAGCATCCTTGTACACCCAAACACAGCACTCAGGCATGAGCTCCTTGGCTGCTCGTGTGTAGATCTGTTCCCAGTGCAAAAGGGCAGCCAGGAAGGACGTTTCCCAAGGGGGCTGGAGGACACCAGTGCATGGCATGGCAGGAAGCCTGTGCTGGGGAAACACCCGACCAGGGATAACTGAGCTTACAAACAGAGAGAAGGGAAATACATCACTGGAGCAAAACAGGCAGGGACAGTCATGTCTGCGCACACGGTTTTCAGAAAACACATTAAAAATTTATTTTAAATATATTATAAAAGGAAGTCCATTCAACTTTAAAAACACTAGGCATTCTATCAATGATTCCCAATTTATGAAAGCTACTACATTAAAGTGCTACAAGTCCTTTACCACCCCCAGATATTAGGCTGTTGGTCCTAATATGCACAAAATAAATACACACTGATTCAAGAGGCACCATCCAGTTTTACAGAGAAAATGCATGCAGTACAAGGAACAGACAAACTTAGACCTAATCACTGAGATCCTGGAGAATGCATTTTGAAACCAATTCCCTTCTCCACCCTAGAGGCTAAAGCTATTTGTTGTTGTTATCATAAGGGCTAAGGTTTCAGGCTATTAGCTTGATCAGTTTTTATCTTGTTCTGTGGTTGAAGTTCACATTTGCTTGCTCACTAATTGGGATTAGGACTTTTTTCAACTAGAGTTGAACTAGTATATTTAAGACCACATAGATCCAGTGGCTTTATATAAAACTCCCAAATCCCTCACATCTGCTGGAATCATTGAAGTCTTTTGAGTCATACAGAAGCAACAAGAAAGCTCAAAATGCAGCAAATAAAGGAGTGTACTCAGCTAGCAGAGGCAGAGTCAGAAACAGTCATAGGCTTTTTATTAGGTTTTCCATAATCTGTCATTGCCTAGTTCCATACAGGCCTCCAAGCTAAAGCGTGGCACTACTAAGGAGAATTCGGAACAGGAGGTGAGTTTATTTCAGTTACACTTTAAATTTATAATGTGAATAAATCAATATGAATGGTTAATGAGGAATATGAAATGAATTGCCAAGTCTGCGTTGAATGCTGATGGAAATTTCGGATCTCATTCCCATTCTCCACCCATTGCATCTCTCCTCTCCACTTCAACCAGGTGAGGACTTGCAGCTTGATTTAAAATCTGGACTCAACACTCATTAGGTGAGAAAATAAAGCACTTAAAAGTAAATCCCACACAAGCTGGGAAATTGCATCACACAGACTTTCCTTGCTTAAGATCAAGTAACAGGCCACAGGTAGCCTGGGAGCAGGACCCAGTGATCCTGACTCCCAGGCCAGCTCCCCTTTGCTGTGTATCCTGTGAAACCACACAGTTTATCCATGAACCACAGGAGCTGGGAGTGGATGTGGGATGCAAGGTACACATGCAGTGCTTGTGCTGGCAGAGCCAGGCTGTTTCCCACGTGGCTTTACCAGGGCTATTTGGACTGGAAGCATGACAGGCTGACAGCCTGAAAACCATTCAAGTGCCTGTCCATATCTCTGAAAGACAAAATATAATCTTCTCCCTTTTCAACCAGCAGTTCCATGATTGCCCAGTATGGCTTTTAGGAGATCTCTGCCCAGGGTGATGTGAGCCAGCAGAGCTGTTGTGACAGCCCTGCAGCAGCCCCAGAGCACTGTGCTCTTGCAATGCTGGTGGTGCCTGTTTGACTCCCAGCATCCTGATCTCACTGCAGCAGGGAGGAGGAAAGTTTGCTGACTGGAACTCTCCAGTAAAGGAAAGCAAAGCCCTGTGCACAGGCTGCTGTAAAACCAACCAGGAAGAAAGTCAGGATGAGAAATTGCTTTCTTGCTACTTCTGTATTAGAGTTGTTAACACACCCTTTAAAAAGTTTCCCAGTGATGGAAGGCATCGACTTTTTCTGAAAGACACATCTGGCTACAGATTTTATAAGCTTTTGGGACTATTTTTGATTTGCATACTTAGAAAATAAAATGCAGGATCCTGCATGCCAATGAAATCATGAGCCTTCACCATGAGGTGAAACATCCATCAGCTAACCCAAGACATCCTCCAGGCTAGCTCCAGTTGCTACAGCACACCAGGAGGAACCAGCCATCCTTTCCTAGTCTTCCTATTAGTAGTGATAACCCTCCCCAAGTCATTAACGATACTGATTTAACAGAAGAAACCCAGGAGCTTCGGAATTACTGTCATTCACACAGATTTTGCACTGAAAGTCAGACATTTTAAAAAAAAACCCACACACAACCACTGCACAAGTCAAGCTTTCTCTTACATCCTTATCTCCCAGCTCCTTCCCCTCTCCTCTCTTGTCCAGCAAGGCACTAGGAAATGGTTCAAGTTTAAGCATTTGCTGTACATTTACATTTAAAAAGGCACATCTTTATTTTAATGACGCTGTATTGCCCTTTCAGGAAGGCTCCCACATTCTTCTCTTGTGGTGTGGAAAAGAAAGTTCATTTCCCAGGTATGAGAAAAGACACCTTGCACACATGAGAGCCCCAAACCTATTTACTGTCTGTAAGCCTTAGAGATTAGCACCAGTAGAGATCAACAACAGCTTCAAGAGCAAATCAAAGTATTTTATACAACACAACACACACCCAGGGATCCCTCTGTTGTCTCGGATTCTGATACTTAAAAGCAGCAGAACTTATGCAGCCATAAAGAGAGGGGTGTTTCAATACTTTTTTGGGGAAAAAATATGAAAACATTTATTTTGCATTAGATAATCACCGGTATTCAATCTCCAGTCTTGACTCACATGCAGATGTGAAGATTTGCTTATGAATTCATGCTCTAGCAATTTTGCTTACAAATAACCAAAATTAATTGGAATAATTAACCAGATTGCCCAGCAAAGGCTCAGTTAAAGATTCAGATGATGAAATACTTCTATTTCTCAATCAGTGGATGGTTGGCTATATTAAGTCTTTGCATTGGTCAGCAAAGCCTCTAGGGTATTGAAAAGTATAATTGATGCAAATAAATTAATAGTTCAAAGCCCAGTGAGCTAGTCAGAAATGTACAGAATTTGTGAGGCACTTATCACACTCAGATCCCAAACCTTCAGCAAGCAGATAAACCACACTAAGAAGGACCTAGTAAAACCAATCACACTAAAGCTCCAGTTTCTGTGTACTGGTGGTGGGTTGTCAAACAGGAATTGCCTCAACTACTACCTAATGTTTTGGTGCAAACTACTAAGAGCTGACCTTTATCTCCAAATTAAGATCTCCAAGTGGTAAAAGACCTGTTCATTACTGCAGTTCTCTCTGAAGCATCCTGTGAGCCAAGCAGGGCTCTCTTCACAAGGTGAGCCCAAGTACAAAGCAAGCCATGCATTTTAGAAACAGAAGCTATTCCTCTCATTAGAAAACTAAGACACACAAAGTTGCAACCTGCAAGCAGAACAACCTACAGTCCATTTATAGAATCTGCTGATTGTGTCCCAATTATAAAAAAAACTATCACTGTTCATGGACAAACAGATTCTTGTTCCACAGGTATTAAAACATTCATAAAGACATCTAGTCAGGCCATCTAGTGCTCCACACTCAGCACTACTAGACTAATGAGAGCATTAATAACTTAAGGAAAGCAGCAGCCAGACACAAAGCACTGGAAGGTGACTCTGTCTCCCACGGAAATGAAAAGGGATCCTAATGACAGACATATTGTAGTAACTGAGAACATAAGATGTCAACTCTGCTTCATGCTGGTCTCACTTCCATACAATACTGCTGCAGAACTGTCACAAGGAAAACCTAGAGCTTTTTTTGTTTTCTTCACTCCCAAAACATTAGACACCAACACATTTTGGCAGCCTGGTCCCAGCTGCAATGCAGCACCCAATGTTTCCCATGCTCCATGACTGCATGGACCAGGTAAGATGGCAAAAGAGGCCAGACATGGCCTCAGCTGTGAGGATGAGAGAGGGAGAAAATGGTTTTGATCCATAGTCAGCACATCACAATAGAGAGCTCAAGGGGCAGACAGTTGTGTCCTAGTTTGCTCCCAGCTGCCAGACACAGCCCTACCCGTCCTCAAAGACATCTGAAACACGGGCAACCATCCTACAGTTGGCAACATCACAAAGGGCTTCTTTCTTCTGGAGCTCTGCAGAGGGAGCCAGCCTGCTTGCTTTGGGACACCAGGCAAACATCTCCTTGCCTTCACATGAAAGACATCCCAGAGCAGAGCTTCCCAAGAGTGCCAGAGGGGTCCAATCCCCTTCACTCCCAGAGCTGGCTGCACACTCCCTACTCTTGCAGCACTCCTGCATGGGCAGCTGGACAAACCAAGGAGCTGGGCAATTCCTGGCAAAGGAATCAGTTCTATGCAGCATCTCTGCACAAGGTTAACTGCATCATCATTCACAGATTTTACCAGAAAATGCCACTGCTGCCTTCAGTACAAGACTAATTCAACTAATAAGCTAGTAAACCTGTTTTTGCAACAACTTCATTTTAAAACATGGATTTTTTTAATACTTGCTTCAGATAGACTTGAACCAATGGTACTCCATTCATGATTTAGTGTCAGTATATTCCAGCTCCTGGGATGAGACCATCCTGGTTCACGGTCTGGCAGATCCCACAGCCAAAACAGAAGGATAACACCTTGCACTGCTCACTGGCTGCACAAGGGAGAGGGTACCAGTAAAATGGGTCCATCAATCCCACATCTCTGCATAAGCAAACAGATTTTCAGTCACAGGAGACTGTACAGTGCCGTGGATGTTGGGACAGGAGGAGAGATTGATAGCACATTCCCACAAGCCCAGAACACTACTGACCACAGGACTCAACTTACAGACTGATGAACAAATGGATAAAGACCAATGGCTAATCTGAGCCCCGAATTCATTATCCTGAATTAATCTGCTCACACCAGCTGTGAATGGAAGTTGTCTGCATTTAGTAGATTTAACTCTGAGAAACCCTGGAGGTGTCCGCGCTAAAAGGATTATGAGTAAGAAACAAATTTGGAACCTGGTATCCAAAGGCTCTTAGCAAAAGTCTTCACCTGTAAGAACTGTACTTACTTAAAAAACCCTCTGCTAATCTTTCACCTTGAAGATTCAACAGTGAGTGACAAACTGACTGCAAAGTGAATGGACCAGAGACAGATTTCTCATTGCTAATAACTACAGCCACATTCCCAACACTTGGCTGCACTTCCACTAGAGCTCATTCCTTCATCAGAGCTATGATTTGGAAAATAATAATGCTCAACCTGTTTGAAATATATTTGGTCCAGGGCAAAAAAATATGCATTTCATTTTCCACTGATGGGCTTTTTCTTTTTTTTTTTTTTTGATTGGAGGCCTAAATCTTGTATCAGGATTTTCCTTATATGGAGTTCGGAAGATAAAGCTGTGGGAACACTTCAGCGGGTGGTATAGCAGCTACAAAAAGTCCTGGAGGGTCCTGGATAACAAAATCATTTAACACAAAACCCAGGTGGGAAATAAAACAAAAACAAAGGAAAAAAAATCCATTTGAATCACATTCAGACTCCTCTAAAAACAGAGTTTCTGTTCAGTCTCAGCACAGAATTGGCTCTGGCAAAGCCTTTAAAATTCCACCATCCCCAGAAGAGAAGGATGCAGCATCTTCACAATAAAGACTGGCCTGCTCATTAACCTTCTCCTGAGATTCTCCCTTTTACCTTCATTAAGTGTTTAAAAAAAAGTATTCTTAAAAAAATTTTTTGTAACCCTCCCCAGTAAAAACTATAATTGTAAAATATATATATATATATTTTCTCAGTCTCTTAAAGATCAAGATTTCTGTTAAATTTTTCCAAGATGGTTGAGTTTGTGTGTTCAAATATCCACTGCTGTGTTGGAGATGAAGGATTGCAGCTATTCATAAAAATCTTTCGATCACTCTCACTGCAGTCCATACAGCTGCTGCTGACTGGATGGTAGAGAGTCTTGTCCTGGAGAAGAGAAATTTGATGTGAGGTTGCGAAGCCGAAAAAAAAAAAAAGGCTGTTTTAAAACCAACAGAAAGAAGTCTTAAAAAACCAAGGCAAGCTACTGCGTCATTTGGGTGTATCCAGAGTTGTTCCACACTTAAATGGTTGGCAAGTGCCTGAGTTCATTCCCAACCCCTGCAACAGAATCCAGCCCAATCCTCACACCTGCACTGGGAAGCTCTAAAGCTGCCCCTAAAGCCACAGGCTGTCCAGCCTACAGGCTGGCATCCTGCTGCATCATTCCAGGGCACTGTGCCAGCAGACTGCAAGGACTAGGATAGGGCACTGAGACAATAATTTACTTACCTGTTGCTCACAATGGCTTAGCTGCTTTAGCAGGAGGATGAATAAATCCTTATCTACTTTTGGCACGATTTTCCAGAAGGCACCAACTCTCAGAACACCTCTTTGCAAACGGGTTTTGCAAAGGTGTTGCATCACCTCAGTGCCAGCTGTGGACACACTGCAGAGAGTGTCCCTTCTGCTCAGGAGCCCTGGAGCCCTCACCTTCCTAACCAGTGGAACGGGGGAGTGACCTCTTTCTAATCAAGGGTAATTAATGGCACAATGACAACAGATTGTCTGCAGGTTCTCTTATTGCAGCTACGTGGAGAGAAGGAATAAAACATGAGTGGTGACATTTTAAGAAATTTAACTGCCTACAGGCAATTTGACACTTTAGAAGAGAATACGCACACGTCCACACACACAGACTCACTTTTCGGTATCTCCAGAGCTGGTTCCCCTTCATTCCATGACAGTCATAGAGGGTCACAGGGCTGCTGTGGGAAATGGCATCAAAACAAAACTTCTTGGTGTGCTGAGGATCCCCGGGACGGATGTCCTCTCTCCAGCTGAAGGTGAATACCTGCCAGGACAAACAGGACCCTCAGGGTGGCTGGTACTTGGGCATGATGTTGTCACCAGCAGGAGGCTGTTCCCTGTGCCCACAGGGTGGGGATGGTTTCAGGGAAAGGACAGTATCTTCTACAGTAAAACTACATCCACCTCTTGGGACAAGGACTGCTTGACCAGGGGAGTCTGTACCAGCTGCCACACAGCATGTGGAAGGAGCCCGAGCTGCTGCAGCCAGCCATGCTGCTCAGCCTGGGTGTCTCTGCAATGCAGACATACATCAAGGATTAAATGAGCAGCTGACCAATTACAGCCATTCACGGCCAGCAAAAAGAGGCAGAGAGCTACAGGAGCTCTGAGTTAACATTGGCAGTAAACACACGAGTCTGCAGAGTCAGCCTGCAGTCACCTTGAGGAGTGTGTCCCACACCTTCTGGGACAAGAGACCAGGAGCCCACAGCTTCCCACCCCACAGGAGTGTCAGAAGGGCAAACACTTGGGCGATGCTTCTTTGTTGCTTTACTCTACTGACCCTGCAATGAACTCTCAGTGCTCTCAGGTGAAATGAAGGGATGGACAGTACAGAAAAGCAGAGAAAGGGGTTTACTTCTAGAAACTGGGCACAACCTATGCCCGGCAATGCTGTGGCCTTGATGAGAGTGTCCTCTGTGACCAGCAGTAGCCAGCGTGGTTCTGCAGGGCTACAGCCGGCACTCCTCCCTCTCAGCCCCTAAGGAGAAGGGCTGTTCTGTGGGCTCCTTTGGAATGGTTCTCTTTTCACAGATATATATCATGGGGCAGTAAGAAAGGCTAGTAATGATCAGGGTGCTGCTATCAGAAGCAGAGTGGCCAAAAACTTTTGCACACAGAAGCCACTTTGTTCCCGCCTCTCTTTTAATCCCCTCTTGAGAGGGAAATTACCACAATCATTTAGGCTCAACACTCCACAGAAGTTCAAGCAACATTCTCTTCCTAAACATAAGCCAGCGTTAATTTTCAAGATCCTCCTGACACAGGGGCTTAGTTTTGGACTGTGCCTGAGTAAATTGGTTTTGTTTCTATTTTTCACGCATCAAAATTGATATGCAACAACCCTCTGTCTCCTACTACTGAAGCCATTCCCTGAAGAGTTATGCATGGCTCTGTAATAGAGGCATTGTTTTCTTGATCTTTTCTCAGCTCAGCTGCTACAGTTTAGACAAACTAATATTTTCCTCCCTTCTGTTACAATAAAGCTGTCGTTTCTGGCACCTTATATGTTGAGAGGGTGAATCTATAACCCGGCTGGTCTCATCTCTCTCCAGCAATGGTTGCGTGTTTATAATGCATTTGCCTCCTGTCAGGAGGATGATAGTGAGCGGTTATTGAATGCTCCTGCAGGTTCATTAATATGCATGATGCTCCTCTATCACTTCTTTCAGCACAACCTTTGAAGTTAATATTCACTTTGTTACATATTACAGCTGCCTTGTTACTGGTTTATTGTTTTGGCATATTGTTTCCTTGTGATTTCTTTTGTTCGCTCTGAGAACTTCAAAGCAGAGGTAAAAGCTCAGCTCAGAGCCTGCCAGGCTCCAGACCCTGCCACAAACACAAGCCACATCCTGCTACCAGCTCATCAAGAACAATCAACCTGTGAGCTTTGGGGTGCACCTGACAGCTCTGCATTGGCCTTCCTTAAACATGGGTTCTTTTAACTTGTCCATCCCCAAATTTAGGGGCTGATGTTTTATCAGACAGACGGTTACCTGCACGTTGTTCCATGCTGCCTCTCCTCTGTCCTTCACGCAGTTTTCCAGCCTCAGTGGGGATCCCAGGGCTCCATGCTTAGTATCCACACACAGTCCAGTTCCGACATTGCGTATCTGAAACAGTAAATCAGTCAATGAATATCCTGCTCCTACCAGGTGACAGGAAAGAAGGCTCAAATTGCCTCAAATAGCAGCAATATTTGCATGGAGACAATTTTTATGGTTCCTCATTTAACTGTGTCTGAGCTGGCAGGTAATAGCTGAAAGAAAGCACAGAACTCAAAATGGGACCCACTGCCAGCTGTACCATAACCTCCACCACACAGCAAAACCCACAGGACTGCAGAGCCCACCATGATCCTCCTCACCCACACTATGGTCTCGGAAACGCTCATTAGGCCTTGGTCTTGACAAACAGCACTGGGGTTCAGCTCCTCTTGCACTTATCAGAAACACTGTCTGCCACAGTTGTGTGTAGCAATCCATGACTCCACTCCTGGGGTCATTTTTTAACCAGAACACAGCCAACTTTCAGAAACAGGGATGGGTTTTCTGGCTTTCAGATGGGGAAAGCTAAGGAGCAGAGTAGCTCAACACAGTTGTGAGGCCCTCTGGAAATACAAGGTTTCACTATTGCTCAGCTGCCTCCTCTCCCTAGTCCTCTCTTTGGCATGTTCTGATTCCTACGAAATACACGGCACGCAGAACAAGCCAAGTCTCTGTTCTCGTTGTAGCTGAGCATTAATAGAAGCAGCTGCCTGCCCAACTGCCTGCTTTGATCAGGCCACTGCAACGGTAGAGGAGTTCTGGGCTTTGAAACACATCAAGCAGGTCTTTAACTACTCGCCTGCACCTTACTCACAGCAACCCAGTACCGGAGCCCACGAGCGACCGCACAAAACCAAACCGCAGCCTGATTGCCCACTGCAGACGCCAGAGCACAAACTTGCCTCTCCCCAGGCAGCTGCTGGAGGCTCCACTGGTGGGTAAAACTTCGGCAAGTCCCAGGCGACCTCGCTCATGAACCACTTGAAGCTTTTGCAGTTGAGGTTGTTGCGAAGCTCCTTCTGGGCCGCCACGTCCCCCGCAGAGAGGTGCCGGTACTCGGGTCTGCGCTGGTAAATGTACTCGGCGTACTCGTCCATCCACACCTCAGCCACCCGCTTCAGGTTCTGTGTGGGCAACAGCCACGGGTGAGAACGAGAAGGAAAACCACCTGAGAGCGCTGCACAAACCGCTGACATTAGCATTCAGAGCAGCTCGCGTGTTTTCGCTCGGAGAGGATTTTCATTCACATCCACTCTTTCTCTCCAGCTTCAGGACAAAGATTATTTTTATTATTCTCTAGTTCCAAGGGAATTTTAGAAAGATATTTTCAGTTGAGGTCAAAAGAATCCTGGCACTTGGCCATTATATCTAGTTCCTTGTGGCTAAGAAAAACAACATTAATCAAAAGTTGTTTTTTTTCCTTTTTTTTTTTCCTGTAAAGAAACTAGTCAGAACATGATGCTGGTAAATACCACTGGACATTCAAAGGTCTCTGACAAAAAGCTGCTTTCTTAAATCCTTCTTACTGCATCTTTTATATCCTTCTAGAAATGGGATTTGCAGTACTCCCTTCTGGAAAGCTTCACTTCCCAGTACTCTTTCTTAGCACTGTTTTTCCATTTTCTTGGGTAAAACTCTGAGATACCGCAAGAATATAGAACTTTCAGGTGATGACCCTTCAGAACAGAAGCAAAGGTTTTACCTCCTGGCAGGAGTAAATTTCATGTATTACTGTAAAGCTTAATCCACTGTGCAGTTTCAAGACAGCAATAAACACCACCCTCTCAAGACAACATGCCTGTCACAGCACGCTCGAGACTGCTGGATCTTGGACTGTTCTCTGGCAACATCAGGCACATTCTTGGTGCCAAGACTTGCCATGTGCAGTTGTGACTCCAGTGATCCAGCAGCACTGCCCACCTTGCGTGAAGCTGGTCAGTCCCACAGTGATCATTTACTACCCAAAAAATTAGGATGCTGAGAGTGAGCAGTGTGCTGACCCTGCTCTGAATGCAGCCTCCAAATAGGAGCAGGTGTTTATTTCAATGTGACTAAAAGATCTTAGATGCCAAGAAACAGCCTTGGCTACACCTGTCTGCTATCTCCTTCAAGCACTGTGGGAGTTCATGAGAGACAAATACTGAATCAAAAGAAATATAGCTCCTTCCTGAAGAGATGGCACAGACAGGAGAGTGCTCTGACAGGTCATTGCCAGGCTGAGGAATAAATCCAAATCTACAACCAGGGCCACGCTATTAAACTGGGAAGCATTTTTACACTGTGCAAGCCATAAACTGCAGAACAGCAGGGCACCTTTTTGTGGTTTTCAGTTTTGCAGCCTTCCTGCTTCTATGATTTTTTTCTCCCACCAGAGGGCAATGTAGTCCCTTCTCAATTTAAAAACTAACTGGAGAAACCCAGTGCATGATAGGCGAAAGCTCTTTCCTCTTTGGGCTACACTAGATTAAGAAATAAGATGGCACTGAACATTCCATTGTGGAAAATTACAGCTTGCCCATTCAGTGGTCTGTGATGCTTGAAGTTGAGAGGTCTTTCAATCACCAAAACGCAATCACCACGCTGAAGCCTGCTGCTCTTGGAGAGCACAGCTATAAAATGACTGAAGTATTATACAAATAAAGCCATATCTTGCTTTTATAGCCAGTGCCTGATCACAGAGCCCCTTCCCAGCACCCAGCAGTGGCCTTTGTCAGCTGTCAGCACACACGTCTTGCAGCTCCCCAGGCTCTTCCCTTTGTGCCACACATCCACCACAGCAAAACTGCTCAACTCACACTGTACAAGTGCAGCTTACAGACCACAAAGCCTGTATCTGCCTCTCCATTGAGAGGCGAGAGGAGACAACAGCATGCTCACGTTGCATCTACATCTGTAGAGGGGAATGCCATTATCACTTACTCTGGCCAGGCTGACTCCTGTGGGAACCTTGTATGGAACATATTTCCTGTAGATATGACCAACCCTAGAGCAAGGGATGTCCTCCATGCGACCTCCACACATCCATACCTGTGGAACAGCAGAGAAACACATTTAGTCTTGGTTTATGGAAAAGACTGAAAAAGAAAAAAAAAGGCTTCTAAGTAATAAAAAAGCTTAACCCAGATTTTTACATTAAAGTACACTCTTCCCAAATCCCCTCCTCTCCTTGCCTTAGTCTCAAATCCTATAACTACCCGCTTAGAGCCATGCAGCAAGCCTTGATTTAGCACAAGTGCTATCAAGCCTTCTTCACAGAAAAGAATAAGGGGAGAAAAAAATCCGAGCACCCAGAGAACAGCACACACCTCGCTTTAAACTGATACATGTTATTGCAGCAATAGTAACCACAATAGTTAAACTGGGCTGCCATAAAAACCCTGGGTGTAGGTTGTGTAACGACGCTGTAAAAGGGGGGCCATCTCTCTAGTACAGGTGGTCATGTGTTATGCAAAAGGCTCCAGGGAATTCATGAGCCCGCTCAAGTGCCAGAAATCAGAAGAAACTGCTACTTTTCCCCGTGGTTATATCACTGCTCTCGTATGGTTTCATTGCTGACATTCACTCATTGCTTTTGCAGCCTTACAATTAACTGGAAATCCCTGCCTGGTAACACATAAATAGCTTTAAAAAAGCCCTCAGGAAGTCACTAGAGCACACTGTAGTTGGGAGATGACTACCTTGATGCTTGGTTAATGTCTAGATTAGGCCCAGAAGCTTCCTTCCCCATCTGGGAAAATTTCACTCTGTGCCAGCACTCTGCAACAACATTCTTTTATTCCTTATTTATAGCACAGATGTAAAAATTTTGTCCGTGTGAAAGAAGAGATGTTTCCTGAACCAGCCAATCTCCTTCATTAGGTTTAAGGAATATATTCACATGCTTCACAAAAAGACCTAAAGAAAAAGTACCCTTCAGAATGCCAAAAAACTGACTTTCTGAATTCCTGAAGCACTGCCTCGCCCTGCAGTTTGTCCCCGGATCCGATGGCAGCG